GTCTTTGTCTGCAATGATTAGACATGTTTTTATTATTGTCATTAGTGATTATCTCAATTTGGGCTAAAAGAATTGACAAAATCTCTCAGACTGAAGAAGTCTCTTGGAGGAGAGACGAAACGTTTCATTAGAGAAGAACCCGTCCAGAAGACCTATACAATTTTTTTTCTTTTTAATTTTAAGTATATTTTAACTTGTGTATTTTTTGTTTTGGTTCTGTTGTAAGTATTTTTCATCACTTAGTGACGTTTTATGATTGTTTGTGCTATTTTGTGCTGTGATTATTAATCGACAAATTAAAAACTCAGACGTTAGAAATTAAATGTATTTTATTTTGAAGGCCGCACACCGGAACCAGCCTGTTTCTTCATCCGGTTGTCGGGTCCGATAGATGGTGGTCCTCCTGGGTGAAAAACAGCGTCTGGAGAAGGGGAGGAGTTGAATAACGTCTGGAGTTTTCTCTCTTTTTAAACGTTATCAGCTCGTTAATAAACGCGGAGGATAAAGCAGCGAGCGGCGGGTTCGGCTGCGGGGCTCGCTGACGGAGGTCCGGACGGGTTGGGCCCGTTCGTGTTCGGCGGTGAAGTTGTAAAAAGTCGGGGGTGAAAATGGAGAGCCCAGCTGGGTGAGAGTGGTCCGAGGAGGTTGGGTTTGGCACCGACCCGGAGTCCTGCCCTGCGGCTAACCTAGCATGCTCACACACTGCGTAAGTTTGACTTTAAATCACAAATAAAATAAACTTTTATTTATCGATAAAGTTTTTCTTTTTTTATTTAAAAACGGTTTTATTGTTATTTTAGCTGGTAAAACTTGTTCTGGTTGTTTTTGACATCGAAACAATAAACAAATCAGGCCCGAGTTGTTAAACAAAGTGAGAGGAATGAGCTGATTAAACACATGTTTGTAATGAGTTTAAACTAAAACTACTTTATGTCACAGTTAAACTTTAAATGTCTGCATGTGTAAAAGTTGGACTGTTTAAAAAAAGGCAAATAAAACAGAACATATCTCATAATAAACACGTGAAATATTGTATTATTAAGAAAAAATTATAATAAAAATGGATGGTGTCTTTCCCGATCATGTCAGAAGCAATAATGCACCCCTATACCATCAGAGAGGCATGCTTTGAGCCGTGCACGTATAACAGGCGCTCCTCTTCAGAATGGAGGATGTGGTGTTCATTGTTTTCAATCAGAGCTTCAGATTGGACGGTGACAGGCCTGCATTTAAACTCCGGTCCAGTCCTGGTCCAGTTCTGACGGTCTGTGCCACCCGTCAGTCCGTCCTACCTTGTGGCACTGCGCAGACATGTTGCTTACTCAGCAGTTTTCTTATCAATATGTGCTACCTGTAGACGTTTCTTTTTGTTACGTTCAGTTGTATTTAATTAAGCTGCTGTTCCTCAAACATATTAACATAAACATCTCTTTTGCTGTTGTTACCACACTAAACAAGAAATTAGTCCCATTGTTCACTAGGGGTGTAAGAAAATATCGATACACTGAAATATCGTGGTATTTCATTTCCCGATACTGTGTCGATATTCTAAAGCCCTGTATCGATTTTTAATTAAGGTTTAAAATGTTAACCTTCTTGCCATTTTTATGTTGTAGTTCAGCCTCTGACCACTAGTTGGCAGCAGTGAGCCAGACATTTGGCTCCTCTACCTCTTGAGCGCCAGAGAATAAGGGTAGCATTAGCATTGTAAGTAAACATTAGCTTTTCTTTTTTTATTTCAGGAAGAGGTTTTTATTTAATAGAAGTTTTGGACAAAAAAAATCACAATATATCGCCTTGCTTACAGTATCACAATATATCGGGATATATCGTATCGTGACCCCTCTTATGATTTGTATCGTATCGCCAAATTCTTGCCAATACACAGCCCTAGTTACCACACTGTAAACAAGAAATTAGTCCCATTGTTCAGAGTCACTTAAAGTTTACGATCGATGGCTTGTGCAAATATTTGTCAGTGGCTTTAGTTTGATGTCTGTAATATCGTTAGTGCACTGTAAACAACAAATGACTCTTTGTTTAGCATCAACCAGTGTTGTATAAAGTACCTCAAAGTGGGTAAAAGTATACGTATCTTATCATAAAAATACTTTGGTAAAAGTTAAAGTCTTCTCTAAAAATATTACTTGAGTAAAAGTCTTAAAGTATCTGATATTTGTTGTACTTAAGTATCAAAAGTAAATTTCTGACACAAAATCTACTTACATATTAAAGGTAAAAGTACTGAGTAAAAGTGAGCAGTTAGATTTTACAAAATGACATTTATTGGGAGGTGACTTCTCCAAAAACTATATTTTCTAACAGCGTGCAGCTGTGATGGGTTGTGTACAAGCTAATAGTGTGTCAGAATGGTATATATTTATACTTCTCATCCAAACACAATTAAATTCACTCTATCCAGGAGACACTATCAGGATAGTATTTTTTTAAAGTAATAACATCTCAGAATAAAATAGGAGTAATGACTTTCTACTTCTTATCTTTTTTAAAAATGTAGTGAGTAGAAAGTACAGATAATTGTGTAAAAATGTAACAAGTAAAAGTAAAAAGTAGGCTGAGAAATAATAACTCAAGTAAAGGACAGATAAACAAAATTTCTACTTAAGTACAGTAACAAAGTATTTGTACTTAGTTAGTTACTTTACAACTCTGGCGTCAACCACGTGTTAGCTTTTATTTTAAACAGTTTCTGAGAAAGGAAGTGACTTTCTTGTGATTTTAGAAAAGTTTTCCTTGTGTTTATAAATTGTTCCAATGCTAAGCATAACTCTAAGCTTCCACTCCACTTCAGTAACATGTCACTCAAAGTATTTTATCCGATGATGATATTTTTGTAAACATGACGGCAGCAGTTTTCGATGGGTAGCACCGACAGTAGACCTAGCTATCGCGCTACATTAGCAACATCTGACGAGGTAGCACAGATGGACACCAGGCCAGAATTAAAAAAAAAAAAAACTCCATCCCAATCCTGGGAAATTAATTCCCTTGATTTTTTTTTAAATTTATTTTCTTTAATTTCTTTCCTGACTGTTATGAATTGGTAAAAATGAACCCAGGGTGCAGGCAGCTTCAAAAAGGAAAAAATAAAGATTTATTAAACAAAACTTGCTGACAGGGCAGCTCAAAAACTAACTTGTTGTAGCTATGCAAGGCAACAAACATACAGGCTGTGAACAGTAGGGCTGTTTATTGGCAAGAATTTGGCGATACGATACATATCTTGACAGAAGGGTCACGATACGATATATCCCGATATATTGCGATACTGTAAGCAAGGCGATATATTGCGATACTGTAAGCAAGGCGATATATTGCGATACTGTAAGCAAGGCGATATATTGCGATTTTTTGTCCAAAAATTCTATTAAATACCTGCCTTCTGTAACGTTGGAAAAAAGAGCACACGAGACACTTAATTTGTCTTAAAATACAGACATTCTGACAAATAAGTAACTGTTTGTAACCTTACCTCAGCTTAGAAGGCAGAGGGTGTCGGTCTTTTCCGCTCAGATTCAACTATCAGAGCATGAAGCTAATGTTTACTTACAACGCTAATGCTAACCTTGCTCTCTAGCGCTCAAGAGGTAGAGGAGCCAAATGGCTGGCTCACTGCTGCCAACTAGTGGTCAGAGGCTGAACTACAACATAAAAATGAACGGCTGGCAGGAAAGTTGACATTTTAAACCTTAATAAAAAATCGATACAGGGCTTTAGAATATCGATACAGTATCGGGAAATGAAATATCGCGATATTTCAGTGTATCGATATTTTCTTACATCCCTAGTGAACAGCACAATAATCAGACAGGGAAGTGAATACAAGACACAGAATAAAAAGGTGAGACTAACGAGCACAAACAGGAAACACCTGGCAGAGAAACATGAGGAGCAGGTGAGAGTGGGCGGGGCTGGAGCAAAGGCAAACAGGAGGAAGAAAACAGATGACAAGACAGAAACTAAAATAAAACATTAACACAGACACAAATCATAACACTGACAGTTTTATTTTGAAAAAAATTTCTGTCTCGTCATTTGTTTTTAATCTTATATCGTCCCAATCATGATTTATACAGTCAACTCTCATCCCGCGGGAATCCCCCCCAAAATATTAAACTCTAAATCAGATGTGGATCCGTCAGACCACGGAACGGTTCTCCACTTTAAACGGTCCAGAGAAGACGGGTTTGGATGTTCATATGTGGAGACTTCTTTGCGTGATAGAGCTTTAAGTAGCGTTAAATGGACGGCAGGTTGGACTGTGTTTACAGATGATGTGTGGAAGTGATGTCCAGAACAGAACCGGACCAACGAGGACCCTGCAGATTATAATAATCTGTTGATCAGATTATGATCTGGAGACGATGGGAACTTTATTTTGAAAGGGTTCCACTCTTGTTTTGGACTGGTGAAGCCGTGCCTGTCTGTCCTGACTGATTCTGTTTTTACTCCTGGCTCTCTTTCAGCTCCTCCAGCTGTTTTTTATTCTAATCACTAACTTTAGTCTTTTGTTGCCATAAAAACTACTTCTTATTAATCTGTTGCAGTCTTAAAAGTCAAAATAAATGTTTTTTTAATTATAAAATTACTAATTTGTAATATTTCACGAGTTTAATTTGTTCCAAATGTGAAGAAAATACGACTTTATTTACATTTATTTACTGTCCCAAGCCTTCAGAGTTGGGTTTGTATAAACTTTTAATAATATTTGGTTAAATTGACTGTAGCTAACTGACGATGTCATCATTTTTCATTTGCCAGCTCTACTCCTCTGCAGACGGTGCCTCTCCGTGGGGAGCAGTTTAATCTGCTGACGTTGCAGTTTTTTCTAATGGATGGAAGTTTAGTCGATGACCCTTTTTGTGGTGAAAGTTCTGCATGAATCTGCCGGAGGCTTCCTCGTTCATATTTTCACTCTGTTCCCTGAAACGAGGTTCCTCTGAGGAGAACCTCCTGCCAGCTGATTGGACAACAGCACTGCAACAATAAAACGACTCATTTCTAAAGATGAAATGACTTCGTTAACTTCTGGGACGTGTTGAGTCGCTGCCGATGCCTCCTGTCTCGGACCGGAGTGGTGGTCAGATTTATCCCGGACCGTGGGTCTGAGCCTGGATGTTGGAGGTCCTGGTGAAGCAGCTGGTGCTGATGAGGCGTGGCTCCTGGAGGCCTGTGAGGCTGGCTGGCCTGGACTCCAGGTGATGTGATGGGGTGCCGGAACAGCAAGGTCCTCCCCGAGCCTCCGGGGGACGTTCAGTTGGACCTGGTCAAGAAGGTCAGTAAAGGTCGTGTTGGGTACTTATCAGTCAGTATCTTACCTGCAGTAGACTCGAGTCGTTTTGGAGAGTGAGTCTAATGGTGAAGAAAAATAAGAATTTATTCCATTTAAATAATAAAATTGACAGTTACAATGATTCTGTCAACCTTTTATTAAAACATTTTATTTAAATTCAAATCTATTCAGCAGAGATGTGAAAATTAACTAATTGGAACCAATTTACGGACATGCTAATACATGTATTTGGCATTCTAGTTTTAGCTCTTTAGCTAATCCATGTATATATGGCAATATAACGTTAGCTCTCAACCTAATACATATATGGCAATATAACGTTAGCTCCCGAGCTAATACATATATGACAATATGCTAATACATATGGCAATATAACATTAGCACCCGAGCTAATACATATATGGCAATATAACGTTAGCTCCCAACCTAATACATATATGGCAATATAACGTTAGCTCCCAAGCTAATACATATATGGCAATATAACGTTAGCTCCCAAGCTAATACATATATGGCAATATAACGTTAGCACCCGAGCTAATACATATATGGCAATATAACGTTAGCTCCCAACCTAATACATATATGGCAATATAACATTAGCTCCCAACCTAATACATACATGATGATATAAAAATAGTGCTTGAGCTAATAAATATCTGTAGCGTTTTAGACTTAGTTTTTTAGCTAATCCATTTATAGATGTGTGGCGATATAGCGTTAGCACCTTAGCTAATAGTGTATGTCGATATAGTATTAGCTCTCAAGATAGTCTATTTTATATATATGTGTTGAGTACAGAGTTAGCAACCGAGCTAATATGTGTCTATGTATGGGAGTTAATGCTATCTCACTAACTCAAGGTAGTATTAGCTCAAGAACCAACAACACACATTTTTTAGTATTTAGTAATGTCATTTATATATTAGTAATAAGTATATGGCGTTATTTCCCTAGCTAATAATATTAGCTTGGGAGCTAACATGAAAACAAAACTAAAGCTGAGATTGTCCTTCTATGAAGCATCTCTGTTGTCCTCCATTATTTTCTACATAGTTATGAAATAATGTCTCCTGTTACAACTAATCTGGGATCCCTTTAAAGTGCTGCTGTTATGAAGAACAGATTTGATGAACAGCTCTGCCTCTGGCTGCACTTCCTGCTTGTTATCACCACCTACAGGTCAGGAGGAGAACTGCAGCAGCACCAGTGTAAACAGCAACAAACACATAGAAAACGTGCGTCAGTCAAAATAACCATTGGAGTCTTTCCACTGCCCAAACCTGACGGTGTTTTTATACCTGTGCTCCTCAGGTAAACCCACCCTCACCTCTTCAGACAGACGTCTACAAGCACTTCATACGAGGGGATGGCTCTGGCAGCAGGACGGAAGGAGCAGCCGGGGACAAGCCGGACTTCACCTCCTCGTTTCAGGCCCAGGCGCAGGCTGCCAGTCCCACCGCTTCGGCCCAGACCCCCAAGGACCCGAGCAAACATTCGGTCCCTCACTGGAAGAAGGTGGCCAAGTACCGGGCCAAGTTCGACCCCCGAGTCACGGCGAAGTACGAGATCAAAGCCCTGATCGGCCGCGGGAGCTTCAGCCGCGTGGTGCGCGTGGAACACAAGAGCACGCGGCAGCCGTACGCCATCAAGATGATCGAGACCCGGTACCGCCAGGGCCGGGAGGTGTGCGAGTCCGAGCTGTGCGTGCTGCGCCGGGTGCGCCACACCAACGTGATCCAGCTGATGGAGGTGTTCGAGACGGTGGAGCGGGTCTACATGGTGATGGAGCTGGCCACCGGCGGGGAGCTCTTCGACCGGATCATCGCCCGCGGCTCCTTCACGGAGCGGGACGCCACGCGGGTCCTGCAGATGGTCCTGGACGGCGTCAAGTACCTGCACGCCTTGGGGATCACCCACCGGGACCTGAAGCCGGAGAACCTGCTGTACTACCACCCCGGACCCGACTCCAAGATCATCATCACGGACTTCGGCTTGGCCAGCAGCAGGAAGAAGGGCGACGAGTGCCTGATGAAGACCACCTGCGGCACGCCGGAGTACATCGCCCCCGAGATCCTGGTCAGGAAGCCCTACACCAACGCCGTGGACATGTGGGCCCTGGGGGTGATCTCCTACATCCTGCTGAGCGGAAGCATGCCCTTCGAGGACGACAACCGCATGAGGCTGTACCGGCAGATCCTGAAGGGGAAGTACAGCTTCTCTGCTGAGGTGAGGGTCCCGTCTTTGATGTTTTATTAAGATTCTGCACAGATTAACCAGCTCTACTCCGTCCACACCTGAGGACCAAACATTTTCTGCCGAGCAGAACTCAGGTGGCAGAAAATCAATATTTGCTTTGTTACAGAAACATAAATGCTTGATGTGAGGCTGAAAAGAAAATTCTGAGTCATCTATTGGAACATGTGTAGCCTCTGAGTAATGTTTGCTCCACGTAAAAAAAAAGTTGTGCAGGTTTGTAATTTTTTATAAGAAACTTCCCAAGCATCAGATTTTTGAGGATTTTTTCAAACTTTGGAATCACTTTAGTTTATGATATATTATTAATTTATCTGTAAACAATTTATAAATCATTAATAAGCATTTATTATGCATCAATTAAGGAGGTGAAAAGTTGTAAAGTAAGTAAACATCTATAGATTCAAATCAGTAAAATAAACTTTTACCGTATTTATTCGTGTATAATACGATCTCATGTATAATACGACCCCCCCCCCTTTTTAGATTAAAAAGCATAAAAAATTTAATCC